AGTCACTGGATGAGACTCTAACTGCCAGGAATAAACCTTACTGGAACCGGGCCATAGCTTCTCAGATTTCTGCTTTTAAGTGCCCAGGCAAAAAAAGGAGAGGGAGCCAAGTCCATCTTAGCAGAAACAGGAGAAATTGGTGCCAAATTGCTGGCTGGCAGCTCGAGGCAGCAGGTGGGTCTGGCCAGTCTCTGCCTGCAAACGCCAGACCTGGGCTGGGGAGAGCTTGGCTGGCAGCTGGGTCAGGGATGAGGAAGGAGGACGACGGCGTGGGGAGCTGCAGAGCACAGCCTCGGCCAGCACGGTTATTTTCCTGAAAGGGCTCCAAGTCCAAAAAAAAAAAAAAAAAGAGTGAAAAAGGGATTAACAAAAATTAATTATATATATACGCACATATATCATATCCCAAACCTGCTCCAAGTGCTGGGTTTCAAAGTTAGGGGCTCCCAAGCTGTTTCTCTTTGATGCATCTAGAAAATACATTTGATTTCTGGGTGAAGAGACCAGGATGATGCCACGGGGAGGCAGCTCCAGGGATCCGGGGGCTTTAATACTTCTCTTTCTCCCTGCCCAACTCCAGACACCTCCCAGGGACCTGGGTCCCTGCGGTGCACATACACCCCTGGTGCATATATCCCCCGTTTAGGGGACTTTGGGCATCGCTGCAGGGACCATCCCATCAGCTCCTGGCCGCTAACTCATCTCCTAGCCTTGTTATCGTGCAGGAATTCAGAAGCAGCTTGCCAGCTCCAGCAAGACACCCTCGCTCTGACATTAAAAGTTACAGCAGAGGATTTTTGATTGGGTTTTTTTCCCGCTTGTTGGTGCATTGCAATTTTTTAAGCAGAAAAATCCCCAGAACAGATGCAAGGTGCCTAATTGGGTGCTAATTGTTCCCATCACCGCATGCCTATGAGGAGTCCAAGCCTGGCGCTGGTAATAACTCACCACCCATCAAAGCAAACAGTACCAGGCTCTTGAATATTTCATGCAGAAAATGTCCAAGATGCGGAGATTACTCAAGACGTGTTTTTCACAGGCAATTTACAGGGACCAAGGAAAAATGTCTTTAATAGACACGAGCATCGAGAGGCGGCTCGGAAACGCGCCTCTCACCCCCCCACCCCCCCGCAGAGCGGTGGATGTTCAAGAAGCTGCAACAACATGCAAACACTCAGCAAGACACGAAAAACCCGTGGGCCCGCTGGGCATCCTCCTCCCAACACTCGCTCTGCCTGCTCGTCCTGCTGGAGATGAATGCTTTCAAAGCCAGGAGACGCTGAGATAAAAAAAATTAGCCTCAAACACCAAGAACAGCGGCCAGGTAATTCAAAGAGCCCTGGGGATGGGGATCAGCTAAAGAAATGAGGGAAGCTGGAGCAAAACTCCACTTTTCTGGATGACCCTCTACCAAAGCTAGTAAATAGTTCACGGGGGTGGAAAAAAAGATCAATGGAAATACTTGTTTTATCCAGGAAAAGTTATCTGACACCTCTGGAGACTGGAGTCACCTGTTCTGGTACGAGCCAGGAGGGTTTTATTCCTGCTTTCAGTGAAAACCATATCCCTGCGGTAGCATAGCATCTCTCTGTAGGTTGAGGGCTGGTCCCCCACCCTAAAGCTGCCCCTCGCCCAGAGAGATGGGGGCAGCAGGAGAGAGGCAAAAAGAGAATGAACCAGAGAGAAGCAAAGGAGAGATCCCCAAATTAGAGTAAGCAGAGCTAAGCCAGCAAGAGGCAAAAAAAAAAAAAAAAAGAGGACAAACAGACAACAGACCAACTGCTAAGTTAGGAGCTGCTAATTAAGAAGTTTAGTTATCCGTGTGTATTTTTAGGACACCGCATTTTGATTCATCACAGATAAGAGCAGTTGAAAGACTTTTTTTTTATCCTCTTGCCTATGCTCAAACCCTATCATTACCCGGTAAGAGAAGGGAAGAATTAAACGCACGCATCATTTGATTTTAATTGAAGGACTGTT